CTGCTGTTTCTGAGCAGATGGAAAATATTTTGGGTGGTACACATGTAAACATCAAAAGCTGTCATGGTAACATTGTTTCAGTACAAAGAAAAAGACAATACAACAGTATGCAAAAGAGCATCAGGCAATGATGAGAACAGTTCTATCCACCTGGCAGTTTTAATGATGACTGGAGAGCACTGGAAAGTTATCAACCGCTTCCTGTTTGTGTCTTCATCACAACAACTGGCAAACAAATGATGTGATTGCTCCTGACAGTCCTGCAAGAATATTAAAACTTTTCACTCACAATTATTCAACTGTCCATCACTGCGATACATTTACAAGTCAGGTAATGCGTGTCAACAATGCGCGCTCTCATTTCGAACAGCATGCTTTTCATTACAAAATCCCACTCACCACTTGCTTTGAACTTATGATAATAAGTCCTATATTTTCTAAATCATGCTCCAAGCAGTAAATGGATTTTGACTGTGTGCTTGGTAAAAAAAAAAAAAAAAAAAGGATAAATGGCACTGACAAAAATGTAAATTATGTGTACCATTTCTTTGTTGTTTCCAAACTTTCCACAATGGAAAACTATTGTCATTTTTGACACAGCAGCCAAAGTTTGACGGGAGCTATTACATCTTATGTCAATGTTATCTAATTGAAGTCAGATTCATCAAGTTTTGACCAAGAGGTTTGGAGCATTCCAAAAAAAAAATCCTGTTTAACACGATTAAAATTAAAAACTGTGGCTGATTTTACTTGACCTGACTACATATGTTAAACTTTTTCCTCAAAACCAAAATCTCAACTTTGGCCTGATGCTGGCATTAGAAATACAATAGTCTGAGATATAATTCTACCACTCTAGAAAGAGTTATTATTAATACAGTAATATAAAAAACACAATTATTTCAACTTTCACTGCAACGACTCCATTCAAGCGAATGAGGGGACTACGTTTTTTCATGAAGGGGTTAAGTTTCTCTGAGCATAATTTAAAATCATAATAAATGCATCTCAAACATGTTTCCATGTATGTATGGTAACGCTTGGATAAACTGCAGTTGTTTTTGACCAAGGGACATAAATTGGAAGTTCAATAAACTGCCTGAAATTTACATCACTGCAGTCCTGACCCAAGGAAGTCGATTGATAAACAGCACAAAGCTGAAACTCCTGGGCTCTTCCCGCATTGGCGTTTCAACTGTCTCATGAGCATCTGACAGAATACATACACTTCTTAATCAATACAGCTGTCTACACTGGCCTTGCAATGGCTACTGATGCGTGTGCATAACTGCAACCTAAAGTGTCATCTTAGGTTTTCAAGTCTACCAACCCAACTCTTGACTTACTCTAATAAATACTGTGAGTGATGAGTTATAGTGTATACAAAGACGTTCACATGTGCACACACGCGCGCACACACACACACACACACACACAACCTAAACCAATCAATCAGAACAATCAAAAATGTTTTCTCGTGGCAACTGTTCATGATGACCCTCTCTCATTTTCATTTTCCATCTGTCTCTTTCATTGTTTTTTCTCCATTCTCTATTTCGCTCCAATTCTCCAACTACTTTTGTTCCTTTACCCTGTGTGAGTTCTGCAGAGGAAACAATGTATTATGATGAATGGGGAGAATCCGTGCTTGTTGACTGTGGCCTTGAGATAAAGAATAGGCAAATGAAACTGCCTGCCTGCCTTGCAGCACCCTAGAGCCCATTGCCACTATTCCTCATGCTAATTTGATTGAGAACGCTCGATCAGCACATACTCCTCGACCCACACACCTTTGCTCTGAAGGAGGTGTGTGTGTCTGTGTGGGGGTGGGGGTGGGGTGCCGTCATGGCATGCAATAATAACAATTTATCTCCAAGATGCCTGTCTCAGCGTATAATGTTCAGGTTAGGCCCACTGTGGGTAGTTTACATCAAAGTGAAATGTTGTGCCGCAGGAGAACGACAGAGTGAGAGGAAAAGAGAAAAGAAGAAGAAGAAGATATAGCTAAAAAAGATGAAGTGGGCAAAAGAGGTGAAAACGAGGGAACGTATGCGACATTCAGAGAAGAAGCAGTAGTGATGGAAGGCCAGTGAGCAGGAGAGGGAATAAAGGATGATGGGAGAAAAGTACAAGCGAGGAGAAAACAGGCAAGTACTTAACAATCCTGGTCTGTGTTCCCTCACTGCAATTAATGTGGAGCCAGAAGGACAGCCTACTCCTTTTCTGCAGTAAAACAAAACCAGGATTGATGAGAGTGTCTGTAATAAGCGACTGGCTGTCTATGGGCTTGCTAGGAGCAGAGTGTCGAGATAGAGAGGAGGAGAAAGGATGGTCCGGTTGAGAGAGGAAGGGAATGTGGCATTAGGTGGAGAGAGAGAGACACAAATGGAGCCACAGCTAGAGATGAAGATTTGAGAGAATAGTCGGACTCCAAGAAAAGGTGGGAGAGAGTTGTAGCAGCAGACAAAAGCAAAGGGAGATAAATTAGGACAAAACTGCTCTTTTGATGGCCATTTTTTTTTCAGTCTCCTTGGTAGCAATTGTATGGGTTTCATTCATTTTGACCGCATTCAATGGAAAACATTCAAGAGAGAAATATCGCCAGTCAGCAGCCAGTGCACAGCTCAGCGTTTTTGATCATGAGCAATATGTCACCAGGCTTGAACTTCTCAAGTCAACAAACAATGTGTTAATCATGGAGAAAAGCAATCAAAAGTCATTTCTTCTTCAGTCTGCCTGCTCGTTGTGGTGCCATTAAGCCTTAACTGCGCCACAGCTTCGGTTACTATGGAAAGATATGTACTGTACTGTAAATTACTGTAAGGAAGCACTGCTGGATTGTAGAGGAACAATGTGTGTGAGGAGTATCTTCAGTATCTCCACTTTTGTGATATGAATAAAAGATGAATTAAGTTGCTATTTTTGCATAATGTATTCTGTCTTTTTCATGTTTTAAATAACTAAATCTTCTCTCCTATACCCCTCCAAAGGATCATTAAATCTTTATACGCAGTACATCCACATATGCCACTGTATTCAGGTTACACTTACCAGCACAGTACGTATACAATACAGGGCCGTTAGATGCCCTGAGAGGAAAAGCAGGAGAAAAAAAAGAGCCTTTAACATGAATCCAGGCTGTTTCACACTCGGCTCTATTTACCCATTATTTACAGAACAGCTGACACGTAACATTGAAAAAGACAAACGTATGGCTGTGCCATCAGAAGAACAAAAACACACACACACACACACACACACACACACACTCACTCACTCACTCACTCACACACGCACACAGACACACAAACACACACATAAAAATGAAAACAGCAGGAGAAAAATAGCTGAATATTAGTTTTTCATGGTTGTCAGCGTTGGGATTAATAGGAGCCATTTCACCATAATGAGCTGTTAAGCGTTAGCTGCCAAAAAGCTTCTTCGTTTGCCTTTCAGTCTCAGAATACTTTGTCTAATTACAACAGCTCTGTCTCTGGTTCCTGTCGCAGTCAGCGGCGGTGTACCTGCATGACGGCTGCCCGATTTCAGCTCTGGTTAGACAACATAATCAGCTCCTGAAACACCTGAAGGTGAGATTTATAATGATGTCATACTGACATTATTACATGTGTAATGTACCCGTCCTGTGACTCAACCAGTCAATGTGTCAGTGCTACACTCCCAGCAACCCAGTTTAATGGAAACCATTACAGGCTGTGTGGCATCTTTGCCTCAAAACATGAGCAGCAATAAAAAAGTGAAACAGAACCAGTGTTGTTCTGGAGTTGTTTTTTACTGGCCTATTAGACTGTGGAAACACATTGAGTTCTCAGCAACCAAACTCTCAGTGAATACAGAGCATCTATAAATCTACTGTTATAAACCGCCAAAGGGGACATCCCCAGGTCAAAGCCCCCCGTGTACAACAACACATACGCACATTTCTAAAGAGTAATAAAGACTCTGAGATTCAATTATGAAGTCAGACAAGCTCAGACCAAAACAAACCCAGGTGCTATATCATAGAAACGTAAGATACTCAGGCTGGGTTGCGGATATAGGAAAATTGCACAATCTGAATAGAAATAAATAAATATGGATTTTAAAAATACAGTAACTGGATCTGAGATGCACAATACACTGTACTGTAAATAAGACAAACTCTTGCTTATTGTGTGGTGTAAAAATTTTGTAAATGAAAACAATCCTCTGTAACTGTTTGATATTCTGTACCAGCCTCTAGACCAGCTTCAAAGTGTCAGATTAAGATTTAGACTAGAAAATGAATGTTGTCATCGTGAAAAGCTGACAGGGCCTGGGAAACGATCGTATACTCTTCCACTTTTGAGAGGAATCTGTTGGTCAGGTTAATGGGGCATTTCATCTCAGCTTCTGAGGAAACGAAAAAGGATGATGACACATGGTTTCAATTAGCAGAAGCCATGAATAGATGCCTGTCAGGGTAAGTGAGGAAGATGCACCTTATAGATTATGGAAATAAATGAGTTTACCACAAACCTCAGTGTGATTGAATCAATCAGTTGTCTTCCATCCATTTCCAAGTTCGAAGTTTTCTACTATTCTGACTTTGAACTACTTCTAACGCTGGTAAAGGGTTTAATATAAAAGAATTGCTCTAAAGTTAATATATTTAATCTTATATTTGTGGTGCAAGCACTCTTCCCTGCAAGTTGTTTTTTTTAAGAAAAGAAAGCCACATAACGATGAGAAGAAACTGCTCTAACCATTTCGTTTACACTGCTCAGGGTGATAAATTGAATTCAGTCTCTATGACAAATAGTGAGTAGAGCAAAATGTTGGATCATCTGTTTTTTGTGAAGTTGCCACAGTTGCCCGCACACAGTACTGTGGCATCCTTGTCTTGGCCCCTGAGAGACAATGTGTGTGTGTGTGTGTGTGTGTGTGTGGGAGGGTGTGTATGCTGTATGTGTGTTAAACTGCACTTTCTAAATGTGTGAGGATACTTGAGTGTTTCCTACCAGCATAGGGCACCGGGGCATCCTTGTCTAGAGCCACCAGAGGAGGGTCCAGCAGCACAGTGTCCATGTTCTCTGTGATCACACCGTGGTACGATGTCTCTATCCACGGCTTGTGCTTGTTCACTGTGGAGGAGAGGGAAAAAGAGGATCAATACAATAAATGTTGCGGTCTCCCTTTATAGATTTACTTCTTACTAATATACAGTTTAGATCAACATTGTTAGGATTATAATTCACATGCTGTGTTGTTTCTGCTGTACATCACTATATCTAAATGTGCTGAGTCACTTCAACAGGACTGAGAGTGAAAGAGCAGGAGGCAAGGAAACCTCCACTTTTTTTAAAACCTTGTGATTTTGATTGATATCAAAGGTTTTCAAAGATGACAGAGCACCAAAGGAGGTCAGATGGTGAACAACGTGAAAAAAAAAAATTATCGATGTTTGCTGTATTATATTACATTTGTTGTTACATTTCTTGCTTTAAAAAAAAAAAAAGCTGCTATGTTTTCTGACAAAGAGAAGAGAAAAGAAGAGGAATAAAATATAACCCTACTTTCTTTTGTTCCCCCTTTCCCTCCCAGTTTTTCTACACTATATACACTCTCTAATAACACTCTCTGTCAGCCTGGGTGGGTTATAGACTGCCCGCCAGTGGCTGCACTGCCAGTTGTGTTTGACAGTGCAACGCACACAATCACCACACACAAGAATCAGGTCTTTACAGCAAAGCTTCATACTTCTAATACCTTGACTCAGTTGAGGAAACAACAGGATTTCAGTAGCTCAGAATATCTTTAAAAATTCAGTTAAATGTGTCAAAAGAATTTCTTTTTGTGAGACAGTTCTGAGCTGTAATCTTATCCCAGACATACTGACATATTGAACTACAGAATCCACATCCAACTTTGTGTTAAGTTCTGTGTTTTGACCTCTACACTTTCTCCAGCACCGGCCCCCTTTTCTACAGTGCATTCTGATCGTTTCTCTCTCTCTCTCTCTCTCTCTCTCTCTCTCTCTGTGTTTCTGCTTCTACAAAATGAGAATCCGACCACCACGANCCGCCCCCCCCCCCTTCTCTACTGTGCTTTCTGATCGTTTCTCTCTCTCTCTCTCTCTCTCTCTCTCTCTCTCTGTGTTTCTGCTTCTACAAAATGAGAATCCGACCACCACGACACCAATGTGATTGAAAAGCCAGCAGGATCAGCTTCAGATTAACACAGATCGCCATCACACGTAATTACTGACACTATAAATTAAACTTCCTCTCTCGCAGCAGGACCTCACAAATAGAGAGACAGATGAACGAGAGCAACCATATGTGAATGTGCACTTTTCTGTAAACACACACACACACACATATATATATATATATATATATATACGCCCATATCTCTGGTGTACAAGTGTCAGTCTCTGCAGGGAGCTGGGATGTCAACTTGACCTTTCAATCCACTGAAGAGGAACGTTTTGTCTCATGCCAATGAGCAGATGACATGTCCAGCTGGCAGTGATTTAAAATGCATCAAACTGTTCCTAAAACCTTCACACAGCTTCTCATCTGTTTGGACAAATTTCAGTAGTTTTGTCCTACTATTCTATTTTCTTCCCACATTGTCACTATTCTGAGTTGAGAGAACAAGGTCAGAGTAAGAGAGGAAATGAGTGCCGGCCCTGCACAAAGGAAACTGGTTTATTTAAAGCAGAAGAGAAACAATTGTGAATGGAAAAAATTAAGACAGACGTTTCAGCAAATAGGAAAAAACTGGTTGCTTGTACCATCTCATCACTTTTAACAGGTGATAAGACAAGAGGTTTTTGTTGGATTTATGACATAAAACACAATATACTGATGAGATGAGAGGTAGTTAACAAAAGGTGAATATTGTGCCTGTTTACTTCTCATTCACGTTTGATTTCATTTTTGCCTTCAATCCGCTGACACCTGCTGATCACTCGAGATGAGACTTTCTCCATGCTGTGACAGAATGGGGAGTGGATTATAGGGAGCAAGGGAATCACAAGGGAAGACATTATTCATATGAGGAGTCGCATACTCATGCAGGAGACAGAAAGCACTGCAGCACACAGCATGACTCTGTTCTGCTGGAAAGTGGAGAGGACAGTGGAGCGCTGTTTTCCAATGGTGTTTAGACATCTATACACCTGGGGTGCATTAGCGCACACTAGTACATATGCTTTTATGGTATATTGAAAGCACTATGCAGCTTCCTCCTGATACTTTCATTGGATTGTACTCTTTCCTTGCTTACTCCCTACCCTTATAGCTTTCCTTGGATTTTTCTCTTCTGCTTTAATAAAATGTTCCACCCAAAAGCAGATACGAAATGAACTGAAACAATCTTATAAATAGACTCTTGAAAACCAAGAGCATATTAGACTGAGGCACTGAGGTGACTATAAAACAGGCCATAAAAATGAGCATTATTGAAGTGATTCCTCATTCCTGCATGCTTGCACTTGCCAGTGTAAATACATATTAATCCATCATGCTCACATTGCATTTAATTTACATTCGAAGATGACATCAGTAAGTCCAACAGCAGCCCGCAGCCAGTGCAGTCTACTCATGAATGGCAGGTTCAATTTCTGGCTCAAGGTCTTATATTTATCCCAAACAAATTGGGTGGTGGTTGAGGCAGCAGAGCTGTGACTTTTTAGAGGGAGTCTAATATAAGAGCTGTTTTGTAGAAAGAGTACACATCAAACCATGGAAATGGGCTATTTCCAAAATGGCTTTCACGACACGTGGCTCTGTAAAGCCATTAGTGTTGTGTTTAAGGTATTCATCCTTGACATCCTGGTACTGAGCCCCAGCAATGAAACAAAAATTGAGGTAAGTTTGCTATCAGGGACAAAAAACTCAGGCAGGAACAGCTGTGTAGACTAAGTGAGCTCTGCTAAGAAATATAACATGCCGCAGCTGTTTATAAAATCACCTCTGAGACTGAAACAAGAGTTTTAGGCATGCTAACGACTCCGTGTAGCTGTTCTCAGGCACAGCTAAATGCTAACGTCAGCACAATAACAACAACAAACAGTGACAATGGTAACAGGCTGATGTTTAGCAGTTGTAATGTTTACCGTGTTCACTGTCTGAATTTAGCATGTTAGCACTGTAACGTTTGCTAATATGGCAGCACTGGAAGAAAAGTAAGGGGGACACCATCAAATCATTAGGATTCATCCTCTGATGACCACAAATGTTTGTACAGCATTTAATAGTAACAAATCTGATAGCTGTAGAGATATTTCAGTCTGGACTAAAGTGGTGGACTGAATGACCAACAGGCAGACATTGCCATCCCTGGAGCCATGTCACTAGCGAGGTTAATAATAACCATTTTTTGTAGCAGCTGATTCCTCCTTTAATAAGGTTACAAGTGTCACTGGCTGCAATATGCATGGCATCTCTGGCTATTTCCGAAGGAGCATCTGCAGCCATTACCGCATTAGACTCCACATTATGGAGGACTAATTCACTTACTAGGAGAGGGAGTCTAAAAGTGGATCTAGTACGGCACTGGATAAAATCTGATATGACAGTAATATGAACAAAGAAATCCAGAAAAAAAAGATTTCCTGTAAATGACATTACTGTAGGGGATTGTCAGCTTGTCTACCTTGGCACTGAAATATCTGTTAGTGTCTTCCCCTGTGTCTGAGGCTCAAACCGTATTACTGTGGGTACACAGCCGGATCATAATCTATATTTAATTTGGGTCCCAACTCATATTCCAAGAGATGCTGCATCGCCGTGTTATGTATTGATCAATGTAAGTCATGTGAAATCTATTTCTTTTAAAGCATTTATTTGATTGCAGTGATGTTGCAGTGGAATAGAGTCATCCTCCCATAGACTAGACTAAAGCAAAATAAGGCAAGGATATCAACAACGCCAACGAGTAAGAAGAAGAAGAAGAAGAAGAAGAAGAAGAAGCAGCAGCAGGAGAAGAAGAAAAAGACAAAGAAGAAAGTAAAAGGAGCCCTTTTAAAAGGAGGATGTCTTGTTTCAGCATCCAAATAGCAAATTGGCTCATAAGGAAGTATGGATGGATGTATATCCACGGACGAATGCTGCCCTAAAATACTTGCTAACATGCACAGGGAAGACAGAACCCTCTATGCTTTCCTTGCAAATAACATTAGGCTTTTGACAATCTACAAGAACGTGCACACACACCAATGCAAATGGAATCATACATTGTCCCAGCAAAGGTAAAGCTCTGCATTAATAGGTGATTTGTTGATACAGTTTGTGCAACTGTTACTCAAGACGATCATAAAGATAGATATACTGCACCAGCAGAATGTGCAAACAGAGGAAGTGAAAAGACAAAATGTGAAATGTGAGACGACATGATCAATGAATTCAGGGGGAAGTAAAGGGTTAACCCAGAGATAAGAGTTAAAAGGAGGAAGGGGAAGATAAGAGGCAGCAGTACTGGAGGAAGTAGGGTGAGTGGGGTGAGGAGGAGGAGGAGATAAAAGTGGAAGGAAGTCAGAGAGAAAATAGGGCAATCAAGGGGTAGAAGAGAGGGCAGAAATAACTATCACTTCCTTTATGAGGAGTACGCTGCTGCCTATAGGACCTCGCAATTCCTTCAATTTATTTCCCTATTAAAAATATTAAATTGAATTCATATTCGATACATTACATGCCAAAGATAATAGATGATCAAATAATAGCACTGATCCAAGGAGACTCCCTCCCTCTCATGTACAGAAAAATCTAGCAGCGGCTTCCAAAATGATGCTTTAGGACAAGCTTTTGTAACACACCTCAAAGAGAAAGCCTTCCTCATTAGCAGCAGAAAGAAACCAGGAAAAGACACAGGAAAATGAGGCGTCATACCAGTTAGGTACAGTTTGTGCTATCACTGTGGCTTGTCAATCCAGGTTTTGGTGTATGGTGCTGATGTGTACAACGTAAATGTGACATCCCTGATTCGAGTCTGGCTGCATGGGGTCCTTTTTGTCGCATGGTGTTTTCCCCATTCACCCCGTCTCTGTCTTTTGTCAAAACCATTCCACAGGGATGATGCTGTTATCACCCTTTTCATTTCCCTCTTTCCCTGCCACTCTTTGCTGTCAACTATCAAA